CACGCCTAGGGCTGGCCAGTCGGATGAACAGAAAGTCTGCCAAGGACCCTTCTTGACACTGACGGAAAGATTGAGTCCCCGACTCCGGACGTCCGTCCAGTGTGCTACTGTAAGAGAAAGAGGGGTGCTGCTTCCGTGGCCCATGTTACCTGGATGGGAGAAGAGGAGTAAAAGACAAAAACAAAGAACAAACAATGACGCGACAAGACACCGGATCCACAAGAATTTACCCAGATACAGAACGGCCGCTGAGGGATGATATCCCTCCCTAATGCTAGTCCGGCCGGACACGCGAGTGCCCGTTGCCGGACAGCCAGAACCTGAAGTGACCAAGACCTCTTGGTCACCGCCCGATCCTGGGGCGTCCCCCAGGGTGACAGTTTTTCTGGCCGAAGCCCCTACGACCAGAGGAGCCGACTCCTTACGGAGCCGACACCCTGTCTTCCTGAAAAACCGAAACTAAGAACGAACAAAGGACAAGACAAACACTAAATGACTCCGGAGTCTGCTTACCTCCAAGACCGATCCCAGCGCTTGAAGGGGGTCGCCTAATCCCGGACGAGCCCCCAAATGTTGGGCCCTAAGACCCCCGGAGAGTCCAGCAGAGGAGGCGACGACCCCAAGTCAAACGCAGAGACCGAGGCTTGATGCAAGAGCAAGAGGATTTTTATTACAAGCGCAGCGCAGGGGCTCTCAGGCAGGCAGGCAACAACACAAAGGAAGTGCTGCTGACTGGAGCCCCGAGCAATTGCAGAACACGGGTTTATAAAGGCAAAAACCACACGCAGGTGGCCGGAAAACAGGGAACTGGGTTACCAGTTAACTCATAACTCATCTTTTACAGGGACAGGTCTTTGTTATTAGTTGACTCATTTCCTAAGGGGCCAGGGTGGTCTGCTATGCGCAGGCCGATCCCGAGGAGTGATAAGATAACTATGCTATGACCAGATCAGGGCGCCAGAGCTTTACGGGAAAGGTCAGGAGGGGGAAGTTCTCTTTAATCTTTACATTAACCAGAGCTTACTGGAAAAGCTGGTCCAGGGGGAAGGGGGGGGGTTTTCAGCGGCCTTACAAATGAATGAATGGAGTATGTGTATGATGCACTAGGCCAGAGGTTCTCAACCTGTGGGTCGCGACCCCTTTGGCGGTCAAACGACCCTTTCACAGGGGTTGCCCAAGACTATCCTGCATATCAGATATTTACATTACGATTCATAACAGTAGCAACATTACAGTTATGAAGTAGCAACGAAAATAATTTTATGGTTGGGTCACAACTTGAGGAACTGTATTTAAAGGGCCAGGAGGTTGAGAACCACTGCACTATGCCCTGCTATGTGCTTTTCATAAACTACCCAATATAAATCCTTTTTGTTATTGTTTTGTTTTGTTAATCTTCACCTGAGGATTCCATTGATTTTTAGAAAGAGTGGAAGGGAGAGGGAGCGCTATGTATAAATATCCATGTGAGAGAGACACATGGATTGGTTGCCTCCTGCATGCACCCAACCAGGGTCCAGGATGGAGCCTGCAACCAAGGTACCTGCCCTTGACTGGAATCAATGACTGGCGAATGCTCTACCCAATGAGCCAAACCAGCTAGGGCCCCAATATAATTCTTACAACCCTGTGAGATAGGTATGATTAGTCCACCTGAACACCCATAGAGATTAAGCTATTTACTCAAGGTCACAAAGCCTCAGAGAATATACTTTTGATGACTTTTTATAACCATTTTCAAATAGAAAAAAAAGAGTCATATGAGCCTCCACCTACTTATCATATAGAGCTAACAAGTGCTCTTTTTTTTTTTTTTTTTTGGCAAATTGCATCATTTAAAAAAATTATTAGATTATTTTACAGTTAGAGACATCATGACATTTTAACCCTAATCATCACTTTCTATCTCTGAAAATTTAGGACTTTTTCATATATAATCACAATACTAATTTATTCAGACCAAGATACAATTGAAGTACATAAGTTGTCTTTAATTATTATATCTCTTAACTTTATTTTATTCTAGAAAAAGCATTGATTTGTTGAAGAGAACAGAGAAGTTGTTTGCAGAAATTTCACCTCCTGGTTTACTTCTTCATGTTGTTGCTTAATTTATGCTCTGGTTCCCCTTAAGTGGTGCAGCGTCAATTTAGATAAGTTCTACTTGAGCTTGTCAAGTAGAACCTATCTAAAGACCACATTCTAAAGAAGCTCTGGTACATATGCAATGGAATATTACTTGGCCATAAAAAGAATGAAATCTTACCATTTGCGAGAACATGAATGGATCCAGAGGGCATTCTGCTAAGTGAAATAAGTCAGACAGAGAAAGACAAATACCATAGAATTTCACTTGTATGTGAAATTTAAAGAATGAGATAAATGAACAATAAAACAAAAACAGACTAATACAGAGAACAAACTGCTGGCTGCCAGATTGGGTGGGGAGAAGGCTGGGTGAAAAAGGTGAAGGGATTAAGAAGTGCAATTGGTAGGCACAAAATAGTCATGGGGATGGAAAGTACAGCATAGGAATATAGGTAATAGTATTGCAATAACTGTGGCGCCAGGTGAGTGCTAGACTTATCCAAGGGAACACTTTGTAAGGTATATGATTGTTTAATCACTATGCTGTACACCTGAAACTAACACAAAATAATATTAAACGTAAACTATAATTGGAAAAGAATAAATTAAAAAGCATGAATAAGTAGTCTCTAATTTAGCTCTTTCTTAATTACACTAATAAATACCATTTTTAAATTTTGAGATGAAAATAGAGACTATGCTCATACTCTTAGCCATTCCACTATGCTCCCCTGGCTTCAACATTTTTGGTAATGCATTTCTCAGGAAACGCACTTCAGCCTCTCTCAGCCTTAGTTTTCCATTTGTTCATTTTTTGGATGCTTTGAGCATTTATTACTTTTATTTTCAATATAATTTATTTATTGTAAGTTTACATAATTTTAAAATAATGGCTACATTTTACAACTGTTTCTCAGTTTCTGAAAATTTGACAATTGGCTTTTACAAGCTGCTAGGCTCTTACTCATACACATCACTACCCCTAAGACTTAGAACCATAAGGTAAAAGGTTTGAAACTTTCTTAAATATTTAAACCATAACAAAGTTAAAAAATAAGATGTAAGTAACAAAAAATAGATTAATTGCCTTTCTGCAAGGCAATTTAATAATACATAACAAAATATAAGCCTTACTAATTCTTTGTCCAAGCCATTTCACTTTCATTCATTCTGTTAAGCATATTTATTGAGAACCTATTACTGTATGTGCCAGGAACTTCTTTTTATTTTTATTGAATTTATTGGGGTTACATTGGCTAATAAAATTATATAGGTTTCAGGTGTACAAATTGCTTCAGCTTCTCTCAGCCTTAGTTTTCTGTTTGTAAACTTGGGTGGGCTGGTCCATTTCCAGCCCACTCAATGGCTCCCCCTTGTAATTCATTTCCCCTCTCATCTCTCTTCTCTGTCTCCCCCTGCTCCCTCCCCCCTCCCCTCCTTTCTCTCTACACCTGGTTCTTCTGGTCTTTCTGGTTCCTCCTCTCTCCCCTCCCCTCCTGCCTCTCCCTCTCCTTTTCTCCCTTCTCATCTCTCTGGCGCTGGGCTGGCGCACTAGAGCTGAGCTAGGCTGTAGAGAGCAGGGACCTGGTCTCGGCTGACCCTAGGCCTCCATCAAGCCCACTGCCACTCCCCCCAGAACACAGCCGTGACAAGAAGCATCCGCTGAAATAAAACCTGTGCCCGCTGGACCCCGCATGTGGGCAGCGCTGTCTGGCCCACTTGGGGTAGGGGGCGGGCAGCTTCTTCCACACTCCAGGCCTGCAGACTCCCGAGCACCCGCACGCAGGCCCAGCAGAGCACCCCTGCGTCCCAGCACCCGCCTTCACCCATTCCACGGATCACCTCGGCACCACCAACACCGGAGGTCGGCTCTTGTGGGAGCTGCGGAGATAGCTAGCAGGCCCAGGAGAGCGCACCCTGTTAGCTCGGACCCGGACCCAGACCCGGACCCGCTGGACAGGCAGAGGGTGGGGACGAGATCTGAAAAGACCCGGAACCGCCGCTCTGCTGGCCTCAGGGTTACTTTCGCTTTCATATCTGCCTAAACTTCCCCCAAACCCTTCCCTCTCCCCTACTTCGCCCCATGCCATCTTCTTTGCTTTCTTTGGACACGGAAGAAGCAGTAGTCAGGTGAAGAATTTGATGTTGGTTTCAGAAAGTCCCACCAGCCTGAAACAACCTTCGGGACAGATCGACCAGAGCCTATGTTGGCAAGGACCTGGACACCATTGGGTTGGGGGCAGTCACAAGTGAAGTGCACCCTATGGTTACAGGGGTGGCTGCCTGGAGACATTCACCAGGCTGCAAGGAGGGGCAGCAAGGCAGAGCGGGTTTTGAGGAGCTAGAGCTGGTCTCTGTTCCTCAAACAGGACACAGGGAGAAAACTCTGGGTTATGCGCAGAGGGCTCCCCTCAGGTGTTCAGCTGAGAAGGCACAGGGCAGCAATGGTGGAGACAACCTAACAGCAGGAAAGAACCTCTTTCCCCCCTTCTCACCTCTCCCCCCTCCCCCAACAACAAAAATACAAATAGATGGTATTTTCCCCAAACCCTTTCCCTACACCCCGCTGGGCATCTCAGTTTCCTCATTTGTAAATTAAGGAGCTTGGCTCAGGTTACACTTTGTGCCTGTGAATCCCCTCCCCGCTGTGGACTTGTGACCATGGAAAGCAGGGGGCCCCACCCTCCCGGATCACCATGCAGTACTTCTGGAGCTGCTCACAGCCTGTCAGTTGGAACAGCTGCCTAGACGGTCTCCAAGTGACTTCCCAGGTGTAAAACTATTCAGCTTGGAAGGTGGGGAGCAGGAAGGGGGTCCCACAATGGGAAGCTGCCTATCCCCCCCTCCATACCGCCATGCCAATCACCCCCTGAGACCTCCAGGCCACACCCAAATGCAGAAGAAACACTCACAGAAGCGGAGGATCTGCCCCAACCGTGCCAGTGGCCGCTGCAGTGGGAGAGGAGCTTTGCAGATGGCGCTCAGCTGGCTCTCCCGTGAACTGCCACCCCGCAGGAAGTTAGAAAGCCCGCGCTTCGCACCGGACACAGCTTGTGGCCAATAGAAGGCCAGGTTGCTGCCGCCAAAAGGCATGCCAGAAAGGGCGGGCCGACTGGGGAGTTTCCAGAAGTCCAGGGAGGACTGGGGAGTTTCTAAAAGTCCAGGACCGGCCCCGCGCAGCAGCCCTCGCTATCACTAGGGTCCTGCTGCGTCTCACTGCGAATTTCGCAACTTGGTCCACAGCCAGCTTCGACCTTCAGTGACAGACTCTCGCAATCCTGTCCCTCCATAGTTTCCCCGCCCTTCTGGGTCCATTGTAGTCACCCCAGAAGCTGAGTCAGGACTGAGCGGGTGTGGGAGGAGCCAGGGGACCCGTGATTTCCTGGCGGGAACAGATTGCACTGAGCTGGAACAGTGCTCCAGGCGACCAGAATTGCTTTGTGCGCCCTGTCACAGCTCTCCCGCCCCCCGTCCTGTGTGCTTTGTGCCGGGTGGGCGGCTGCGATGGGACTAGCACCCCGGGCCAGACCTGGGGCCGCTACGGAAAATCGCGTAGACTAGGTCCAGCTCCCGCGGGCGTCCATTCGCGCCCTGCGCTACACCAACTCCCATAAGACAGAGTGGCCCCAAAGCAGAGAACTGAGGTCTAGTGAGACTTGGGGACCCCCACTCTGCCTCCCACTTTCCCGCAGGCAAATGGGCCAACTTGTCAGAAGGGCTGATGCACAGCAGATGGGGCCCAGCAGGAGGAAGGAGAGGCCAGCGCCACACTCCTGGTGTCCAGGACGCGCCTTAATAGAGGGTCCTGATGGAGGACTCCAGAGTCAGGCATCTCCCAACAGATAGTCAAACAGTGCTTTGCAAGGGGCTCAAGGAAGCATCTTAGTGTTTAAGAACCTGAAGAAGAGCAGATGCCTTCAGTATTGGGTGTCATGTTAGAACTTTTGGTTAAAGAGGGGGACAATGTAATTGGTAGGTGATGATGGTGACAACTCTTATGTAACTTACAGAAAAATAGATGTTTATGTGTGGGTGGGATGATGGGCAAAGCTTTTCCTAACTTGACCTAATGTAAAGAATACACTGAGAACTGCCATCACTGCTTTGATTCTGGGTGCTGGGTGGGGTTTGCAGAGAGCACACTTTCAGAGCCAAATTGTAAAAATAGTATGAAAAAAGTTAAGGAAAAAACTGATGGTAGCAACATGTATGTAAAGGTGGAGAGCAAATTATTGTCTGAGGGGACTTGCTGATTGTCTTTGTAGAATCTGTAGATATGAAAAAGTTAGGAAGGGCAAGAGGCGGTAGAGAAAGGTGCTGTGGAAATAGTCTGGCATCTCTGGGGAGAGAATGCGCCCTGGGAATGAACAGAACTTAAGGAGCATCATTTCACTAAGCTCCTTGTAGGTGTGTTTCCCCTTTAACTTGTTAGACACAGAACAAGAATCACTTCACCAGGGTGGTGTTTAGGGTGGCAAATACCAAATTCTTTGTACGTAAATAAGGAAGATGCATATTTTAACCGAGACTTAAGATTGTTTCCATTTTGTTAAGCCAATGAGAAAGAACGTCAGTATTTATTTCAAGTCTACTATGTATTTTGCACATGCACACAATTCTCTAAATGTTTTTTAATCAAGAAAACCCAGTTATTATACTTTAAGAAAGCAGTCCCACATACTCTAAATTCTTGAGATATTTTCTTCTAATGGTCCATGGGTTCCATCTGATGATGTTGGAGTGAAGACTCTTGTTTATTATTTTTCTCTTGATCAAGGTTCTCATTTTTCTCTTGGGTTAACAGTTTATGAAAGGCCTCATTTTTCTGTTTAATATCACAAAGAACTGATTCCATAGAATAGCCATATTCAATAAAGGCATACTCCTTACCTTCACGTTTATAAAACTGCCCAAAGGAGTGTATAGCAACGACTTGGTGAGATGCATTAAACACTGGGGAGCCAGAGGACCCACTTGAAAAACAAGTATCATAACTAAGTGCATCTCCGCGCCAAGCCACAGGTGGGAAACTTCTTGGGGTAAACATAGAGAAAGCATGGGGTTCTGAATTCTGAACAAGGTCTGAGTACCTCCCTACACGATCCACTAGAGTAATCACAGTACACTCATCTATTTCTTTTACCTGGCCTTCTGGGTGACCAATTAAATAAAGAACCACTAGATGGCAAAGAGGAAATTTGTCCCCAAATAGACCTGGAGGAAGTCCATTTCCATTTGCTCTTAGTTTTAAAATGGCATAATCCAGACCTTTATCAGACACTTCAAACCATGGCTCAATGAAAAACCATTCTTCAGAAGGAGGGTGGAATGTTTTATAAGTGAAAGTTACCTTTGCACATTTGCCTATTATATCTGGCCACAAACTTGGCTCTGTGCCTTCTCCCACCATCATGTGTACAACATGTAGAGAGGTGAAAATGTAACCATTATTGAAGACAAAACAAGTAGCATTGCCTTTGTTTCTATTATTGTTCCAACGGATGTACCCAACTGACTCACTACGTTGGGTACGAAGCTCATAGTTTGCAACTGTAGAAGAATTTTTAGTCGCTTTTGCGAAGTGCTTTTCATATATGTTGAATTGTTGAGATGGTGACAGCTTGTTTCTCCTCTGTTCTTTCTGAAAAAACTTTTTCATATGAAGTGCATATTTACTAAAATTTGGATATTGCTGAATTATCACTGTAGTCAACATTTTGCAATTCTTTAGCCAGGGATCAGTTGTCTCCTCCTGGATATCCCACTTAATAACAGATTGCATACCCAGACGTGGCCTTTGCCAAATAAGTGAGATTTGTTTGCTGTATTTTCTTTTGTGATTTTTCCGATAATGATCTTTAATTTCGGAAATTGTCCGGCGTCTTTTATTTTCAATGTCATGTCCTAGACTTCGAGGTGGGAAAACTTTTTTTCGGCTGTATTCTACATCTTCAGTCTCTCCATCTGTCTCTGGTTTGAGAACCTGGACCTGAGATGGCATCTGATTCTGGGGACTGATTTCACCAGTGGCACTTTCATTCTTCTGCTCAATTTCCTTATGGGTACGTTTCTTGCCAGATGGCTTTTTAGGAATTTCCATTTCTAAGGTTTTCCCAGATACGTCCTCCACTTTGGACTGTTTTTCATAAACCTTCTTATGATTTTCTATGAGTTTCCACTTTAATTGGTCCAGGTCAGGCCGAAATCGACCATCCTTACACAGGGCTTCTTGGATAGTCTCACCCTTCAAGGCATAGACACAAAGTGTACTTGCCTTTTCATGAAATGCCCTGCTCTTAACAATAGTCTTAGTTTCCTTCCCAATAGCCAGAACATGAAAAAGAATGCATTCGACGTCATTGGGATTTTCATATGGGCGTAATAGCTGATCATTTTCCCCAGTGGAAGAAGTATCATTTTCTTTCTTGTTCCCCTTTCTTTTACTAAAAAATATTTTTAAATGAGAACCTGTAGGGAGGCACTTGAGAGGCATTCCTAAATTTACACATCCTCTTATTGTTTTCTCTCCATAAGCATTAATGTTCTTATTTAAATGCTTCTCCATCCTTTCACGGAAATTTTCATTAGCTGTCAGAGCTGAGTAGATACTCTCATTGAGTTCGCCGGATGCTGCATTTTCACTATGGTCTAATTTTCCGGATCTTTCAGCCCAACTAAAAGTGAAATTACGTCTTTCACTGACTCTACCATTTGGGTTCTGAGTTTTAAGAGATGTTTCATGCCCACTGACTTCGCATTTAAGTGCAATGGTGCTGCTGCATCCTCTGTTGTCAGATGGAGAATGATCATCAGGTGTGCCAGCACACGTCTGCTCCGTGCCAGTATCCTTAAGAAAGAAAAGATGAAACTTTCTATCAGAATCACCCTAAAGAATAGTGTTTCATGTCCTTATAATTGGAAAAGTAATTGATAATATGGTGGATAGTCAAGAGTGGAGAAAAATGTCCATCATTAGTCCACTGCCAGAGATATACGTGTATTTTGTTTTCTCCCCTACGATTTAATATAAATCTTATGTTACTTAAATTATATTATTCTGTCTAAGAGTTGATTTTTCATTAAGCCATCCCCCAGTGCTTTCACTTCTGTAGAAAACCTTTGAAAACACAATATAATATTTTCGTGTACAATAATTTTTAATCCATTCCTCTTTGCTATATATATATTTAGAATGTTTTCAATGTTTCACTACTCTGATATGATAAACAGTTCTACACTTAAACATTTCTGTCTGCCCATCTGATTATTTCCCTAGGCCAGATTCTTGGCAGTGGAAATACTGGTACTAAGCTTATAAATGTATTTCACAACAACTCCACTGCCAAACTGCTTTCCAGAAAAATCTCATCAACTCACCTCCATTGTCCAACAAGATTAGTGTGTGGTTTAATAATAATAATTTCAGTATTATAATTTTAAATGTTTGGCAATTTGTAGATGAAATGTTATCTAATTTGACTGTTTTTATTTTTTTTATTATTTTTTTTTAATTTATTGCTTAAAGTATTACAAAGGGTATTACATATGTGTCCATTTTATCCCCCCGCCCTAGACAGTCCCCTAGCCTCCCCTATCCCCCAGTGTTTTATGTCCATTGGTTATGCTTATATGCATGCATACAAGTCCTTTAGTTGATCTCTTACCCCCCTACCTCCTGCCCCCCAACCCTCCCCGGCCTTCCCGCTGCAGTTTGACAATCTGTTTGAGGCAGCTCTGCCTCTGTATCTATTATTGTTCAAAAGTTTATAATGGTCTCTATTATCCATGAATGAGTGAGATCATGTGGTATTTTTCCTTCATTGACTGGCTTATTTCACTTAGCATAATGCTCTCCAGTTCCATGCATGACGTTGCAAATGGTAAGAGTTCCTTCCTTTTTACAGCAGCATAGTATTCCATCGTGTAGATGTACCACAGTTTTCTAATCCATTCATCTACTGATGGGCACTTAGGCTGTTTCCAGATCTTAGCTATGGTGAATTGTGCTGCTATGAACATAGGGGTGCATATATCCTTTCTGATTGGTGTTTCTGGTTTCTTGGGATATATTCCTAGAAGTGGGATCACAGGGTCAAATGGGAGTTCCATTTTCAGTTTTTTAAGGAAACTCCATACTGTCTTCCATAGTGGCTGCACCAGTCTGCATTCCCACCAGCAGTGCACAAGTGTTCCTTTTTCTCCACATCCTCTCCAGCACTTGTCGTTTATTGATTTGTTGATGATAGCCAGTCTGACAGGTGTGAGATGGTACCTCATTGTTGTTTTGATTTGCATCTCTCGGATGATTAGTGACTTATTTGACTTATTTAAAATCTGCATTTGTTTAGTGACTGGTAAAGCTGGACATACTTAACACATCTTTTGGACATTTGAACATCATCTTTCAAAAATTCCCATTCAACATCTGTTGAGTTTCTATTGTGTATACGGTATCAACAGCACTAAAGAAATATAATGCTCGATAAATCACAATATTGGCTAGATATACAGACAGGTATACATATTCAAATACAAATGAATATACATATTCATATAAAATAAATAAGTATTCTTCTCTTTGCACACTAAAATCACTTATGTCTGGCTCAGTTTAATATTAGCATTTTGCCCATTTTTAAATAAAAAAGTGTGCTGGTCAAAAACTGGGCTCTGTTTGATTGCCTGGGTTCAATATCCTCATCTGAAGTCCATTGTTTTTGTGACTTTCTGAAAGCTGGGTTTCATTGTGGGTTTTTGCTGTTGTTGTTTTTTTTTTTCATTTGTGAAGAAAGGATGGTGATAACATGTACCACAGAGAGTTGCATTTAATGTTAAATGAGATAATCCATAGGAAGTGACAAGCATAATTCCAGGTACATAATAATTTGTCAGTAAATATGAGCTCTGTTACTATTTAGACCTGCCTATATTTCTAACATTAAGCGTCTATATTGTTGATTAGCCAACCTGTCTAACAAGGCAGTTTTTTACATTGTTAATTCATACACTATCCCTATAGAAACACATATGTGGGTGATGTCCCCAAACATATTTGGAACAACACAAGCAGAGACCATAACTGCCATTCGTTATTGAACAGTCCCCTCCAAGGACCTAATGTAGCACCATGGCTGCAGAATGCTGTTCCAGCCAAGAGGTGTAAAGTGCAGACATACCTCTGAAACTTCAGGTCTGGTACTCTGGTCATATTCAGTAGCACTGAGTGACGTGTTCTCTTCACGTTTCACGGGATTCATGATGAGTTCCAAGAGAATCTAGCACACTTCCACTACTGTCAAGATGAAGAGAGAGGAACGGGCTTATCCTCACACTTGAAAGGACCAAAACAACACAAGATATAGAAAATGACAGCTTTCAAATACTGGGCAGCGGGCAGCTCAGAACCATGACCTCTGTTCCCTGAGAGTGGGAGTGAACTGAGGTACCCCATGGACGTCTAGCTCATTGTCTGGGTCAGTTTCCAGGCCACAACTCAGGCTGTTTCCCAAATTGAGAAGACAAACTGAGGGTCATGGGAGGCCTAGGTGGTTCAAGTTTGTGAGTCAGAGTGCTGGAGAGGAGAGAGCAGCAGGTATACAGACAGAGAGATGGAGAGTTGGAGACCCTGCAGTGTGTTCCCCAAGAAATTTCAGCTAAGTCTCTGTCAGTGCATGGCAGTGATGAAACTGTTGGAAGCCAGGGGAGGAACTCCACAAAGGGAAAAGATAGAACAATCCTGAGGCACAGACAGGGCTGAGAATGGTTTCTGTGCCCAAAGGTCAAACTAGAAAACTTTATAATTCATGAGCTACTGAGGAAGAGTCCTCAGAAAGCTGCTGCCTCCACAGCTGGACAGAACCAGCCCTTCTGCAAAAGGCTGCTATGGTGCCACCTGACAAACTTGAAAGGCAAGATTTGCAAGGATACAACTGTTTCCAAGGACTGTAACTGTGTGTGAGACCATAGCTGGAAAGCATTGACAGGACTACAAGCATCTCTAGCACCTCCCCCCAACCCCCACCACAAAAGAAATGAAAGTAACTAAGCTTGCTTACCAATCAAAAATGATCAGGCATAAAAAGAAGCAGAAAAATATTGCCAGTAACATGGAGAACGATCAATGAACAGAAAGAGACCCAGAAGTGACACCTGTGGCAGACTGGTAGACAAGAACATTAAACAGGTATTACCTTGGATTTCTGGCCGAATGGAGTGACAGGGGCCGGATTTACTCTCCTTTCTGAAAACGAAACAGGACAAAATGAACAAAATATATGAAACCCTGATTGGCAAGGAACTGGACACCATGCAGTTAGGGGCAGTCACAAGTGAAGTGCACCCTATGGTTACAGGGGTGACTGCCTGGAGACATTAGGCTGCGAGGAGGGACCACAAGGCAGAGCGGGCTGGAATTCCTGTTTTGAGGAGATAAAGCTGACAGACCAAGGTGGTCTCTGTTCACAGGACACAGAGAGTTAAGTGCAGAGGGCTCCTCTCATGTGTTCAGCTAAGAAGGCACAGGGCAGCAATGGTGGAAACTGCCTGAGGATAGGAAAGAACCCCTCTCCCCCAACAACAACAACAAATACAATTAGATGGTATTTTTCACGAAACCTCTCTCTACACACCACCTGGGCATCTCAGTTTTCTCATTTGTACATTGAGGAGCTTGGCTCAGATTAAACTCTGTGACTGTGAACTCCCTGCTGTGGACCTGTGACAAAGGAAGGTAGGGGATCCTAACCCCAAGATCACCAGGCAGTACTTCTGGAGTGCTGTTCTGCAATTTGCACTTTAACACACACCCCACCTCACCACAGCTGCTCACAGCTGGTCTGTTGGAACAGCTGCCTGCACTGTCTCAAGTGACTTTCCAGGTGTAAAACTCTTGACCTTGAAGGCAGGGAGCTGGCAGGGGGTTGCTACAATGGGCCACCGCCCATCTGGAAAATGCCTCCATGTCAACCACCCCTTAAAAACTTCAGGTCCCACTCAAATGCAAAATAACCACTCATAGAAGCTGAGAATCTGCTCCAGAGGTGCTGGCGACCGCTGCACTGGGAGTCACAGCAACTGCAGGGGTGGAGCTCAGCGGGCTGTCAAAAGAATCTCTGCCAGGCAGCCTGCAAGTGGAAAAGCCCGCGCAATAGATGGCAGGTAGCAGGCACCCAGTGGCTTGGCAGAGAGGACCCTAGGGCTAGCAAGTGGCAGGGCGGGGTCCAGGGACACGCCCTCGCAGCCTCCCTAGGGATCGGGAGGACCCCGCGGCGTCCGCCCACCCACTCGCTCCCACTCTAGGTCCACCGCCAGCTTCCGTTTTCTGGACAATCTTTGAGCAATTGTGCCCCTCCATCCCTTTTTTCACCCCCCTCCCACCTCCACCCCCAGAGTCCGCTGTTGTGGCTTGAGGAGCTGAGCCAGCGCGGGGAGGGTGGGGGAGCATCCCTGAGATTTCCCTGGGCTCTGATTGCCTGGCAATGCGAGAAGCCGAACAGCCCGTCCAGCGACCTGAGCTGCGGTGCAAACAGCCCACCAGCGCGGCCCCAGGGCGCTGCAGGCACTGCACTGCGAGGTGGGCGGCTGTGGTGGGACTAGCATCCCGGGCCAAGTCGGGTGGCCGCTGCGGAAAATCGCCCAGACCCCACAGAGGCAGCGGTCTGGATCCCGAGGGCGTCTGTCCATGCCCTGCGCTCCACCAGCTTCCAGGGACCCAAAGGCCCCGAAGCCGGCAGCAAGCAGCCCGCTCCTGCGGTGGAGTCTGTGCGACTTGGCCACCGCCACTCCGCCCTAAAGGCAGGGAAGAATCACCCACCGCCACCAACAACACCAGCAACACCACCACCAACAACAAAATTGGAGGGTGTCTCTCAGCAAACTCTCCCTACACCCCGCTGGGCATCTCAGTTTTCTCATTTGTAAATTAAGGAGCTTGGCTCAGGTTACACTTCGTGCCCATGAACTACCCCCTGTGAACTTGTGACAAAGGAAGGTAGGGGATCCCACCTCCAAGATCTCCATGCAGTACTTGTGCAGTCAGTTCTGCAATTTGCACTTTCAACAACCTCCCTCCCCACCCCCCCACCATCCCACCCCAGCTGCTCAGGGATCCCTGTTGGAACAGCTGCCTGGACTGTGTCCTAATGACTTTCCAGGTGTAAAACTCTTGGCCTTTGAAGGTGGAGAGCCGGCAGCGGGTGCCCACCATGGGGAGCTACCTATCCCTCTTTCCTTCTACCCCCCAAACCTCCATGCCAATCACTCCTAATAATAACTCCAGGTCCCACTCAGATGCAGAGGAACCACTCACAGCGAAGAATCCACTCCAATTCTGCTGGTGATCGCGGCACTAGGAGTTGGTGATGATGCTCGGCGGGCGGTGCGGGAATGTCTGCTGCTTGGCAGGAAGTGAGAAAGCCCATGCTCCAGACCGGGCGGGGCTTCTGGCCAACAGACTGCCAGGTTGCCTGGAGAAAGGGCGGGAGGCAAGGCAGGGTCCCGGGACATGCCCGGGCAGCCCCTAGGGATCCGAAGATCACACTGCGTCCCACTCATCCGCTTGTTGGGCACAAACTATGAGCAATCGTCCCCTCCGTCCCTTCCCTGCCGCTCTGGGTCCACTGTCGTCGCGGGGCGGGTGTGAGAGGAGCCGGGGGACCAACGATTTCAGGGACCCTGATTGCACAGCCGCGCGGCTTCCAGGAGCAGGAACAGTGCTCCAGGGACCAGAGTTGCGGGGCGAACAGCCCGCGGAAGCCGCTCCGGGTGCTTTCTGCGCAGTGGTCGGTGCCCTTCAGATGCTGCGAGGTGGGCGGCGGCCTTGAGAGGAGCATCCCCAGCCAGATCCGGGGGCCGCTGAGGAAAATCGCCCACACTCTACAGAGGCAACGGTCCAGATCACACGGGGCGTCTGTTCATTTGTGCCTTGCGCTTCACCAGCTCCCAGGGACCAATAGCCCCCAAGCAGGCACAAAACAGCCCGCTTCTGTGGTGGGGTCTGGTGGGACTTAGGCCCTTCCACTCCACTTCCCCACTTCCCTGCAGGCAAAAGAGTCAACTTGTTGGAGGGGCTGATGCACAGCAGACAGTGCCCAGCAGGAGGAAGGGAGAGGCCAGCACTGCACTCCTGGCGTCCAGGACGCGCCTTACTAGAGGGTCCTCATGGAGGACTCCAGTCAGGCATCTCCCAGCAGATGATCAGAGAGTGCTTTGCAAGGGGCTTGAGGAAACACCTTACCCTTTAAGAACTGGAATAAGAGCCAGATGCCTTCAATATTGGGTGCTATGTTAGAAGAGTTGGTCAAAGAGGGGGAGGATATAATTGGTAGGTGATGATGGTGACAACTCTTTTGTAACTTACAGAGAAATATTAGTAGATGTTTATGTGAAAGCTGATGGTGTTGGTGGAATAATTGGAAAAATTTCCCCTAATTTGACCTGAAGTAACATAGACACTGAGAACTGCCATCACTGCTTTGATTCTGGGTGCTGGGTGGGGGTTGCAGAGAGCACACGTTAGGAGCATAATTGTAAATGTAGTATGAAGAAGGTTAGAAAAAATAAGAAAAATGGAGTTTTACAAATCCCAATTGTTCTTTAAATTATCCTAAAGTAGTACAGGTGACTGGTACCAACAGGGATACTGAGGTGGAGAACAAATTATTGTACGAGGGGGTCTGCCGATTCTCTCTCTTTGAATCTTTAGATGTTAAAATGTTAGGAGGAGCTAGAGGTGGTAGAGAATGGTGCTGTGGAAATTGTCTGACATCTCTGGAGACAGAAGTGCCTAGGAATGGTTTGTTTATGTATGTGGTGTTCCAGAAATGAGAGAAAAAGAGGGATCCTCAATGAGTCCTATGCTTTTGACCTGAGCAACTAAAAGATAAAGTCTCTGTTAGCTGATATGGGGAAATCTGAGGGAGTGGCTGCTGTTTGTGCTATGAATGTGCCAACACGCACACATGAGTGAGTGTTGTTGGGAAGCACCGGAGACTTAGTTGGAAAGTTTTTAAGGAGTACATTCTGGAAAGGGAAGTGCCGAGGGTGGCACACCCTGTTTATCATAATTCTGACTTAGGGGAGAGCCAAAGGCAGAGCCTCTAATTATTCCTTGACATTTCCAACAAGTCTGTGCACATGCAGACCCCGGGGTGTTTACTAGAATCCTTATGCTTAATCTTTGGGTGTCCTTGCTTAAAGGACACTGCAGACACATGTGTCCTTCCAAGATTACTTATCCTACTGATTGTATCTAAAACATAACTTTATCTCAAACTGATGTTACAATAAAACCCT